GCGATGCGCTTTTGTTTCTTGCTTTTCTTTTACAACTGATTCTTATTTGACGGATATGATTTAGATTTGTACATCGAAGCGTAAAGGAGATATAGAAGTAACCGCAGTAAAGGAACAAGAGAATTAATGGAATACCAAAAGAAGGAATTAAGGGAAACAAAGAATAAACGGATAAGAACAAAGGAAGAGAATAACGTGGAGGAAAGAGTTGATGTAAAAAGAAAACGAAGAAAAAAACGAAAAGAATGACGAGGAAACGAAAATGAATAGACGACTAACTAAACGAAAATATAAAGATGAGAAAATGAAGGCAAAACATCGAAAGCATGCATAACGAAGATAAGAAAAAAAAATGAAGGAAAAATAAACATAAAAAATGTAGAAAAATACAAAGCGAAGAAGAGAGAAGAGGAAATAGAAATAATAATTAGACGAGAAAATAATTTGACACGAGTAAGTAATCTGAACAGGGATGTGATAAGTCCTAATTGGATTCGTGATTGCTTCAAGCGATTGGGAAAAAAGTGATATTAAAAAAAAACACGAAATTGAAATGTTTTGGTAAAGAATTTTATATGAAATTATGATGTATGTGTAGATTCGCATGTCTCTGTGTGCGTATGTGTGTGCGTGTGTGTGTGTATTTGTGTGTGTGTGTGTGTGTGTGTGTGTGTGTGTGTGTGTGTGTGTGTGTGTGTGTGTGTGTGTGTGTATGTGTGTGTGTGTGTGTGTGTGTGTGTGTATGTGTGTGTGTGTGTGAGTCTGTGAATATTGATTTACATAATTTGTGACTCACGACATACATGATATAGCCTTGATTAGAAGAATTAGAAATACACAATACAATAATACAACAATAGAATACACACTGTAATACGAAAAGCTGTAAGCTCTTTTATGTTGCATGTAAAATGTACAACCAGCATATCAATATCTTTAATGCACCTTTTATATCGTTTGATTAGAGGAGCAGAGAGAGAGAGAGAGAGAGAGAGAGAGAGAGAGAGAGAGAGAGAGAGAGAGAGAGAGAGAGAGAGAGAGAGAGAGAGAGAGCGAGCGAGCATGAGGTGGGTAAATGGGCGGGGAAAAAAAGTGAGAAAATAGAGAAGAAGGAGGGAGAAAAGGAGAAAAACAGAGAGAAATAGAATAAAAAATAAAGATGTGCACGACAGAGAAAGAGGCAATCATCCATTTCTACTCCTGGAAAAAAACAACAGAAGAAGATGATAAAAAAAAACAAGCAAACAAACTCATAGGCTGGTTTATAGGTCTAGCCAAAAGGTCAAGAGAAAAAAAAAATCAAGAAAAAAAAAAGAAAAAAAGAAAAAAAAGAAAAGGTTAATCTACAGTGACATGCAGTTCTCCTGATGAGTATCTGCGCCATGTTTTCATACACTTGAAATCACACGGGTTGGAGAGTCGGGCCGTGGGCGGTGGGCGGCCAAGACTAAGAGGCCAGTGGGCGTTACAGAATACACTGTGTCCGGACTCTGTTTGTTCGGAGGTGTGTGGGCGATTTTTTTTTTTTTTTTTTTTTTTTAGTTCGGTGAGTGAAGAGGATGGCGGTGGAGGGGGAGGGGTGAAGGGGGGGGGGGAGGATGGTAGATGAAATGAGTGATCTTTTCCTACAGTAAAAATTGTGTTTTTCTTTCTAACGATATATGTAATAAAATACGATGATAGTAATGACAATGATAATAATGATGATACTAATAATGATCATAAATACTGAAAGGTAATGCTTATTTATGGCTATTTATGCTAATTATCAGTAAATAAAGATCATAACTAAAACTAAAAATGGACATACGATAAAATACATTAATAAGAATAGGAATGCTAAATACACTTGCTATTACCTTAATAGTGATGATAATTATGATAACGATAACGGCACAATGATAATTACGAAATTTAAATGATAAAACATACTTGTACGAAATGTTTTCATAGTAGATGAAGAAACAAAAGGTGACACGGAAAAGAAGAGGAAAACAAAGAATAAATGAATATATACCAAATGGAAATTAGGAAACGATAAGAAGAAAGAGAAAGAGAAAGAAAGAAAAAGGAAACAGAGAAAAGAGAGCGAAAGAAAATTGAGATCGAAAGCCATCAAGACAGAGCGAAGGAGAGGGCGAGGGAGGCGAGGTTGGGGGAGGCGTGAGGGGGGGAGGGAGGGGAAGGGAGGGGCGATGTTGGGGGAGGCGTGATGCTGGGGGGGAGGGGAAGAGGGAGGGTGGGTTTTAGTCTGGGGGGGGGGGGGGCGTGGACGACGGTATCAGTCGGGCAATCACGTCGCAAGATGGTATCGCGGGGAAAGAGCCTGTTTCGGGGACTAATTTGAACGCGCCTGTGAAATCTAATGAAGTCGGGAGAGTCTATGAGGACACCTGCTCGTTGGCGCACCGCTCGCCTGTGTGACGGCCGCCTGCGCGCCGAACGACGTCTTGTTCTATATTTTGTGCATGTATATATATATATATATATATATATATAT